CGATCTAAATTCTTTTGTAAATCAGCAGCATCCTCTTCAAAGCTAGCAACACCCAAGACCTTAGTATCATCTGCAAATTTAAGTAATTTATTGACTCTCCTTTCATTTATGTCATTGATGTAACTCAAAAAGAGCAAAGGTTCTAAGACTGAGCCCTGCGGTAGCCCACTTTGTGACATTAATCCAGTTTGACTGAATTCCATTTCCAACAACGCTCTGCTTTCTTTCATCCAGCCACTCTTCTAACCAATTCGCTAACTTATCCCCCCACCAATAGAAATAATTTTTTATAAGCCTTTTATGTGACACCTTGTCAAATGAGTTCTGAAAAATCCAGATACACTAAATCTACACCCTTACCCTCATCTACATAAGCACTAACATTTTCAAATAATGTCAAAAGATGTGTAAGGCAAGATTTCCCTTAGTGAAACCATGTTGACTATCCAATAAAATTTTAAACTTTATTAAATGTCTTTGCAAAGCATATTTTAACAGACTTTCCAAAACCTTTCTCACAACTGATGTAAGACTAATGGGTCTATAATTACTAGGACAATTTTTATCACCTCCCTTGAAAAGAGGAGTTACATTGGCTAACTTCCAATCCTCTGGTACCTGCCCACTATTCAAGGACTGACAAAAAATAGTAATAAGTGGCTCACATATCCAATCTTTGACCTCCTTCAAAACCCTTGTGGAAATATTATCCGGCCCAGGAGCCTTATCGTTTTTTAAACTTCCCAATTTTTTTTTTAATTTTCTTAACCAGTTTAGAATTGATGCAATCATCTTGTTCAATCTTGTTTCCATCTATCAACTGTCCAAGATCTGAAATACTACTTAAATCTTTATTAGTAAAAACCGAAAAAAAGGCAAAATTTAATTACCCAACCATCTCATAATCATCAAATACTAGCCTTCCTTTATCATCTCTCAAGGTTCCTACCCCATCCTAACATTATGTTTACCCTTAATGTATTGAAAGAAATCCTTACTGTTAATTTTTACGTTTCCAACCAACCTTTTCTCATACATCCTTTTTGATGTCCTAATTTCCTGTTTCACCAACTTTCTTGATCTTTTATAATCTTCTAAATCTCCTGTCATACCAGTCAATTTAAATTTCTTAAATCTATGACACTTTTCTTTAACTCTATCTCTTAAACTCTCTGTGAGCTAACTTGGTTTTTACTTGCAGCTACCCTTTTCTTTCTATAAGGAATATGTTTACCTTCAATATTTAAAATTTATCTTTAAAAATTTTCCACACCTGATCAGTGTCTCCAAATAACTCAGCTGCCCAATTCACAACAGATAATTTTTGCAGCAAAACATCGAACTAAATAGAGAAATGATCACTTGCACCCAGATGTTGCCCAATTTCCACCGTCTCGATCATTTCTATATTTGAAGTTAACAATAAATCTAAAATAGCATTGTTTCTAGTTGGTTCCTTGACTAACTGGCGGAGAAAGCCATCTTGAACAGGTTTCCAAAAACCTTTCTCCCTCATGGTTTGACTCTAGAATTTCCCAATATATATGCCTGAAATTAAAATCACCCAGTAATTATGACTTCATTAACAGCTGATATCTTAATGTAATTGTAAAGTTTCTCACTAATTTCATCAGTATCATTTGGTGGTCTGTAACAAATTCCCACTAAAAGCCTTTTCCCTTTATATCC